AAAACGGGAGGTTCCCTTCTTCTCTAGCAAATGATTTCTGGTTTTATGTGCTTCCACATGGCTTTGGTAGAAGTCCTAGATGGACCTATATATATAATTTTTGTGCTTTAAGGGTACACGGATGCAGTACGTGATCTAAGCACCCTGTTGAGGTGCAGTTCTTACACTCAGCCCGACCTCCCGACTTGCATCCTGTTTGCTGACAGTGATCTTGCACGGTGTGTGATTGCTCAGGCTTTCTCAGTATCTTCCTGAAATGACTAATCTTGCTGAACAGAACCTGCAGTAAGCAACTGAGCAGCTCCTGCTGCCAGATGTACTGGGGCAGGGGAGCTTGCTGCAGCCTGTGAATCCAAGACTTGGGGGAGCACAGAAGCTGTCAGGAAAGAGGGGTTGTATTAAAAAGGCTTAGAAAATGATACTGTCTTTTGCAGAGCTGTTTGTGTCAGTAGAAAAAAACCTGATACATGTAATGGAAAACTTCTAGCCAGAACCTTAAAGGTAGTATTTAAAAGGTGTTTCCAGAGGGGACTTGAGTTGCAGACCCTGGCTCATGATTCATTGCCCATCATGGCCCTTGATTCATCTGAGTTCAGCTGCCTGTGTTGCATCTCCCATATAAACAGGCTGGAGTTGTCCCCCTGCACACGGTGACATTTCTGGTGGTAGGTAAGATCAGCTCATGGCCAGGGCTTGAGGATGTCCTATTCCTTTGCGCGGTCCTGCTGCCTCTTAGCTCATGATGGTGTTGGGCCATGGTTCACAATAAAGGGCTGTCTTGGAGAAATGTACTTAGTGTGCACAGGGTTTCACAGCAAAGCCCAGTCAACACATCAGAAATAGAGCATTAAAAGGGAAGGTTTATTGCTGTTAAAAGGTAACCTGAAGATTTGGGTCACTGGGTGCTCCTTGTTTGTTTTGTTGATGCTCATAATCAATTTACCTGGTGAGGATGGAGAAGTTCTTGGACTAATGTGAATGTTTGCATCTCGGTGATAGTTATAGGCTACAGAGTGAAGCAGTGAAAGACCTGAAGCAGCTGGAGGCCACCAATCTGATTTGAGGCTCAGTACAGTACACTTGGGGACCTAGATGTGTCCACCATAGTGTGAAGAATGTCATTTTGCAAGGCAATAAGGAAGATCATGAGATTACAGAGAAGAGGAAGGAAAGGTCTGTGGGATGGTGGATCATCAGGGGGCAGGAGCACCTCTCATATGGAGACAGGCTGAGAGAGCTGGGCTTGTTCAGTCTGGAGAAGAGAAGGCTCTGGGAAGACCTTAGAGCAGCTTCCAGTGCCTAAATGGGCTACAAGAAACCTGGAGAGGGGCTTTTGACAAGGGCCTGTAGGGGCAGGACAAGGGGGAATGGCTTTAACCTGCCAGAGGGGAGATTTCGGTTCGATATAAAGAAGAAGTTCTTCCCTGTGAGGGTGCTGAGGCGCTGGCACAGGGTGCCCAGAGAAGCTGTGGCTGCCCCATCCCTGGCAGTGTTCAAGGCCAGGGTGGACACAGGGGCTTGGAGCAACCTGCTCTAGTGGAAGGTGTCCCTGCCCATGGGAGGGGGTTGGACCTGGATGAGCTTTAAGTTCCCTTCCAACACAAACCACTCTGGGATTCTATGTTCTGTGATGCTATTTTTTTGTTATATAAGCTGTATTAGGCAGTGCATTTATATCCTTTGCCCTTTTATACATTGTAATATTGACAAATCTTTTACACATTATAATAGTAAAACACCTTTTAGGCAATACTTTCCAAAGGTTTACACATAAAACCAAGATGCCTCCTGCTGCTGGGTTAGCAGAGACACTACCTGTCTTCTCAAAATGGATTCCAGCTGTACCATCAGCTCCTAGACATGTGCTTGAAGCACAGGGTGTTACTCTGGAGGAAACCAGCTGTACTGATGGCAGATACTTCTCCCAAGCCTTGGTGACGCTGATCAGTACCAGAACCATAAGAGCTTTTCTCGAGTCATCAGCATCATTTCCAGGCCCCAGAGGCATCGCAGAACATGTGTGCATAGAGTCGTACCGTCCTGCTTCTCTCATGTGGTTACAGGAGTGTTTACCAGCTATTGGAGTGAAGTACAGCTGTCAGGCAGGAAGAGCATGGAGCTGTCAAGCACAGAGCAGGGTACAGATGAGGAAGGTAATTTAATGGTTTGTTTTCTCGAATAACAGTGGAGATAATCTTTTGCCCTGACACGGTGCATTGCTGCTGGGGTGCAGACATCATTGCCTGCAACTCTTGGGAAAGCGAGCTGAGAGCTGTACAAGTCTATATTCACACCATCAGAAGAACTGTTGACCCTGCAAAATTCCACTTGTGTGAGAGCAGCTCTGCAGGAGCAAATGTAACAAAAATAATCCATCAAACCCAAGGCATTGGGTTAAACATAGGAAAGCCTCATAGACAGTTTTGCTGACCCGAGCACTCCCACTGGTTTGCGCAGGAGATGGTGCACACCAGGGCTGCAGAGGGTACTTAGGAATATAAAGGTGCCTCAAGGTGTTTGGAAGGCTCCTTGCTGGAGAGGAATTCCCATGGGCATAGAGGATCTTGGATGTTCCCAAGGAAAAGAGGTAGTGTAGGGACTGTAGCTGTAGCTCAGGCATGTTTGCAAGCTCACATGTGGTTTATTGTGTTTGTATTGGGGATTATAGTGAGAAAAACAAACAGAAGGCAAGTATTGATAGTTGTGAGTAATAGACTTTCACTGACAGTACAAATGCTTACTGATTTGCAGCCTTTGTGCTGTTGCAGGGTGTCTACATCTTAGTTCCATTTAATATATAGTCCTTGAACTGCATAGTCTTTGCAGCTGCCCAGGTCCTGGAGGTGTCCTAGGAAATACCTCAGCTTGGTGAACTACATAGAACATTACAAATGTGAGATTAAATTCAGTCTTTCAGCTTGAGTTAAGAAACAGCTTTAAAAAAAAAAGTCTCAGAAAGAGATTATTGCAATTGAAAAGCATAATTGATTAATCCTCAAGTAATACATTTTTCAGGATTAAATACACTGTCATTTATTGTTAATAATATTCTTTGGAAGCAATTCATGGGCTTCCTTGCTTTTATGTGTGTGCTTTTTGTCTTAATAATCCCTTTAGTATTAGTCAGGGGAATTTTCATTTCCCACATACATTAAAATAACATCTCAATACTGGCACAAGCCTGGTGAAATCGCAGAATCCCAGACTGGTTTGGGTTGGAAGGAACCTTAAAGCTCATCCAGGTCCAACCCCCTGCCCCGGGCAGGGACACCTTCCACTGGAGCAGGTTGCTCCAAGCCCCTGTGTCCAAGCTGGCCTTGAACACTGCCAGGGATGGGGCAGCCACAGCTTCTCTGGGCACCCTGTGCCACTGGAGCCCTCCCATGCAGACCCTGCAGGTCAAGGGCAGGGTCAAGGCTGGAGGCAGAGGTGGGCTGCAGCCCCCAGGAACGTGCCACCTCCTGCTTGCCTGCTGTTAGGACACGCTTTTATGGATGTAAAGAGTATTTTGCACAGAACAGGATTTAACCTTTGCTCTAATCTTCAACTAGAGACGAGCTTTCTGCCTTTCTTTTTTTTTTCCATACCTGCTTTGTTAAATCATTAAGCAACAGCTAGGGAGCAGAGGCAAAGAACAGGCCCCTTCATTTGTGTCCTTTCCTTTGGTGGTTCACTTGTCCTGCTGAGAACATCTTCAGATTTGGCCAGGGTGGGCTCCTCTTCTCTGCTGTAATGTTAAGATTTTCTTGTCTGGATTTGAATGCTCAAACACAAGCCACCTTATGATTACCTTATTATTACCTGGGATATCTAGTCTAGGTCATACTTTGCCAAGAAAGGTTGGACTAGATGATCCTTGAAGGATTCTATGATTCTATAGTTTATTTCCAGAAGTTGCTGATATTTCCCCTCACCACTGTTTTTGTGGAGCTGTGCTGCTCAGCCCTTATCACTTGAGATTATCCAAGTGTGAGTGTCGTTACCCAGCTTTCTCCCCAGTGGGTCTGGCAAAACAGTGGCTGAGTTGTCAGGTGTGTTTGGTGCAGTGTCAGGTTAGGGACTGGGGAGGGAATGACCGGGTCTCCACTGCATTGCTGAAGCTGCCCATGAACTCTTTGGCAGGAGCAAATGTCAACTTAAGGGTAGTAATTAGCTGAAGTCTTGATGAAAGCTGCTAAAGATGATGTGTTTTACCTCCCATTTACCACTGTTTACAAGCTCAGCCGATACATACCACTTCATTAAGCCTTTGCAACCTGGTCATGGATGTGTGGGCAAACACGTGTGTTGAACTTGTCCACATGCCATGATCATCTCGTTTCTGTCAGAGATGTATATCTGCATGGAGCCAGCAGCTCTAACACTCGTTGCTCTGACCTCTTGTAGGTGGATCAAGTTTGAGGAGAAGGTAGAACAAGGTGGGGAGCGATGGAGCAAACCTCATGTGGCCACCTTGTCCCTGCACAGCTTGTTTGAGTTACGGACGTGTATAGAGAAAGGCTCGATAATGCTGGATATGGAGGCTTCTTCTCTCCCTCAGGTGGTGGGTAAGTAAAGCTGCCTTGGCTCTTTTCCTCAGCTCTTCCCTGCAAGTTTCTTTTAACCCTGATGATGGTTTCACTCGTGGTTTTAATGAAAAAGCACTGCTTTTTTTTAGTAAAAGAGGAAAAATAAAAAAATAATCATCCAAGGAATAACAGGAACAACTAGAAATTACCTGGAGGAGGATAACAGATAAATGAAAAGAGTTCTTTTTAATTCAGGAAGAAGAGTTAAAGAGTCAGTTTCAGTGCTAAGCAGTGCTTACCTTGAACTGCTTTTTGGTGATTCTGTAGAATCATTTGGATACTGAAGTAGGTATCCTAAGATCTCACTAGGTGTGTGTGACAAGGAATAGCACACACTGAATTTATATTCCTTATCAGAAACCTATCATGTGCAAGGCCACCTCTCTCAGGACAGGGATATCTGGCAAATGCAGGACAACTGCAGTTTCAGCCATGTGGTCAGCCCATAGGCTGCTTTGGGTGAGGTCCCTGGGTGGTGGCCCACTGGAGGCTCTGTTTGGGATGGGCTGCTCCCTCCAGCGAAGGAGGATGATGAGTAGCCACAGTACCTGCTGCTGCTTCACCCTGCTGAATGGGATGGCAGCTTTTTTGCAGTCAAAAGGGCCGTGGCCTGGGATGACACTTGGTGGCATTGCTGAGAGCTGTTCCATGTTCCTGGTGATGTGCAAGAAGACATACGGAAATGTATTTTAAAAGTGAGTCATCCCGTGGAGGTACATTGATCAAAACACGTGAGTTTAGAAACCATTGTGTGAAGAGGTGTAGAAAACAAAATGGAATAAACCCCCACAAAACTCAGTGCTTTGAATTAGAATCTCAAGAAGCAGGCTCAAAAGCGTCTTAGCATGAAATTATCTGGTGTCAGGTGTTGAACTAGTTTATAAGGCTTGGAATTACAAAAGCTGCCCCTGATGTTCTCTGCACACTTTGAGCTTAGTTTTATAGGTGCTTCTGGTGGCACTGATCTTCCTTTATTTGTGTGCCTGTGTATCCACATGCACAGCTTTGCAAAGGTTAGAAATACAAGAAAACCCCACCTCCAAAAAACCCTCCTTCTGAAGCACATTCAGCTTCAGCATAAACTTCAGATGATGTCAGTGGTCCAAAACTTTAACCGTCAAACATGAAATTCCTTTTTGAAGTCACTTTGAGGTGTCACTTTCGATATCCTTCTTCAACACTCAAATATAATTTCCAGGTGATCGCAGTGTCTGCTGTTGCTGTAACACTGTCCTGAGTGTGGTAGTTTTGGTGGGCCAGATCCTTAATCAGACAGATGGGGATCTTCAAGAAGCCTGCAGAATTATTTAATCATCATCACTTGGCTGGTGTCCTGTAGTGACATGCAAAACAGAAAAGCTCCAAGAGCTCTCTTTGTTGATTTGTGTTCTATCAGAAACATGGAAGGGAAGAAATACTTGCTGGATGGAGAGGGTTAAACTTGATGAAGAAAGACATGTTGTTCTGAAGGAAGTAATCCAAAAATCACCAATAAAAAATAGCTGACAGAAAATTGTCACTTTACAGAAATAAACCTTTTGCCAAACATTTTGGGTTACAATACCTACATGCATATAATCATCCTTTTCTGAGCCTGGGTGGAAGAACTAGGCTTTCCCCACCTGTGATCTGAAGAGGCATTAATTCTCGGGCAGCACACAGAGGATGACGTCCTGACTCACTGAGGAGGCAAATGTGATGCATGTTTTGCCTCCCCTTCCCTGTAAGTTTTATTATTAGCACAGATAAATTTACCAGTAGACAAATCGGAGCTGCCACTTGCCCCTGGGGGAGAGCAAGTCGACTGAAGTAATCAAGGGAACGACTTAATGTGAGGTTTAGTGAACAACAGAGATTCTTAGTAAATCTGGCCACCTTTTTTTTGTTTCTCCACTGGGATAGGGGAGCAGAAAGGAGAGAATTGGATGGGAAGTGAGCAGGTTTGCAGCGGTCTTGGGAGCTTTTGTCCCTGGTGATTCAGTTCGAGGCAAAGCCACATAATGCATCCTGTGACAACTGGAGCAAGTTCTGCCTTTTGTAGTTGCTGTCATTTTACTTCAGTTCTGAGAGTGAGTGATATAATTAGTTCCTCATCTCCAGGACTTGTTCCTGTCATTAGATGAGGTTTTTTTGGGGGCCTGTGAGGTGAACTCAGGCCTTGTTGAATCCAGTGGAAGTTCTACCATGTTATTTTTGGGAGCCTACTGGAACTTACAATGTAGTTGTAGCTTCTTCACAAAAGAACACAGGGTCAGGAGAGATTCCCTTTCTTAACCATGAGCCATCTTATCCTGGGTACAGGTGATTTCAAACAGGCTCAGTGGTGTGTATGAAAAGAGGGGAGTCTCAGTGCAATGGGTGCATAGAACCATAGAATCACAGGGTGGTTTGGGTTGGAAGGAACCTTAAAGCTCATGCAGTTCCAACCCCCTGCCATGGGCTGGGACACGTTCCACTTGACCAGGTTGCTCAAGGCCCTGTCCAACCTGGCCTTGAACACTGCCAGGGATGGGGCATGTTGGTGGCTGATGAGTTTTCCTGGATGGAAATGTTTATGTTCCATTTCAAAAGAAATGTCTGGAAGAGTTTCCCATTAAAAATAAAATGGCAAAATCTGGTGGTGGTTTTGAGATGGGAAGGAAAGTCTTCAGTAAGGTAGGGTGGAAACGATCCCTCTCTCTCCTGCCACACACCCTTGATGCATCAAGTTCTGTGCCCTGTGATTAATTGTCCTCTCCCTCACCTGCAACAGAAATGATCGTTGACAATCAGATCGAGACGGGGCTTTTGAAATCAGAACTGAAGGACAAAGTCACCTATACGCTGCTCAGGAAGCACCGGCACCAGACCAAGAAATCCAACCTGCGCTCTCTGGCTGACATCGGGAAGACTGTCTCCAGTGCAAGTAGGATGTTTACCAACCCCGATAATGGTAATGCAGAGGCTACCTGGCTATGGCCTTCCCTTTCAATGCGACCCACCAAACCTGCCCGCCAACAACTAACCACATTGCCTTGACAATGCTTTTCTAACGTAGTGAGACCATGCTGACGACGTGTCAGTGGTGGGCTCTGGAAGGCTGCTTTGGCCATGGCACATTGCTCTAACCCTATCTTCACTGGACTGAGAGGGAGAGGAGGGGATGTGGCAGGCAGGAGGCACAGGGAAGGACAGAGACATTCTCTGTCAGCTGATGTGTAGGAGATGGTGTAGGAGCAATGATAGGAAAGAGAGATTTACAAGTAACTCCAGCCATGCCTTGAACCTAAAAGGCCAGTCATTTGAAATGTTTGGGCAGAGATGAAGCTCTCGTGCACACTCAATTTCTGTAACAGATGGTGTCAGTGGCCCTCTTAATCAAAAATTAGGTAGTAGTATCATCTAGTTTGCACTTTATTGCTATACAATCATTGTCCAGTGTGGGTAAAGCTGATTTCCATCTTGCTTCGTTCATCCTAATATTGTTTCGTGGTGTATGTTGTGAATTTATGTCTTTTTTTCCCTAAAAACACTATAATAGGTAGTGTCATGTTTGTAGTGGTGCCTTGAAATATGTGTGTGTGTGTGTATGCAGACAGCTACAGAGGCCTTGGCAATGGCTCTGGACTTACCCATATGTTGAGATTTGCAGTCGTCTTACTTATGGTTATCCAAAAAGAGGAGGTTTAAGCCTACTTTCACATCTTAGAGTTCTGTCACCTGCCTCATGTCGGAGTCTGGGAATTTGTCTACAAGTTGCCATTTTAAAATAAATGAGGAAAGAAATGAAAGTAAGCAAAGAAATTGTTTACTTATTGCTACATGTAAGGCCTCTTAGCTTCCTGTGTTCTGCTTCTAAAACTCGCCCTAACATATCTCCCTAACCTGTTATCATACTCTATCAATATTTCCTACTTTAATCGTCCTTTGCTTTTGCATCAGGTGTGTATGTGCATGTGAAGAATACTTATTGCTCTCGATGTCATGTATGAGTGCCTCAATAATGCAGCGATTAAGTGAATAACACAAAGTCTAAATAACATGAATTGAGGGAATGTCCTCACTCATATTGGGACTGGGCGCCCAGCAAGTAACTCGTGTTTGTTTTCAGCTGGGATTAAGAAACCACGTTCTTTCCAGCACATCCTCTGGGTTTTTCCATTGTGTCCCTCCTATTTGCATGGGAGACATCTGCTATTTGTTAAAAGAAGGACGTGGCTGTTGCAGGTAAAACACATAAGCGTTGTTTGCAGTGGTGTCTCCAAGTATCAGTTACCACCTCCATGACTCCTACTCATTCAAGACCTATGAAAAGATAGACAGGTTTGCTTTGAGGAGAAGGATCCCATGCTGTAAGGGAGGCAAAATGTAAGATTGCCAGGTCTTTAGCACACGTCACTTGGGTGCTTCAGTGACCTTGTGTGTGGATGGTGGATGCTGAATTCTTCCTTTTGCAGTTAAAGTCAGTCCTTGAGGAGCCATCAAAACCTCAAGTGTTAAAGACAAATTAAAGCTTATGTAAGGAGTTGAAAGGTAAATCACTTTGTGTGTTGTTTAGCTATGCATTGGACAGTAAGCCCTTGCTCTATGTTGTAGGGAGCTGGGCTTTCAGGGCTGGTTAAAGAGGGAACAATAAATAGCATGCTTATCCTGGGAAGAATGATGCTGATGAAGGGCATTCATCTAAGTTCTCACTCCAGCTCCTGCTATTTTCCATGGCTAAGGACATCCTTTATTCAGATCTTAAATGACTTTGTTTTTCATGAATTCTTTTTTCTTGTTCAATGGGGCTGTGCAGGTCCTGTCTCAGTTGGACTGATTGTCCAGAAATTCTTTCCTGGCTCTGTTTAGCCCACTGGCTGACCTTCAGCCACTCCTATCATAGAATCACAGACTGGTTTGGGTTGGAAGGGACCTTAAAGCTCATCCAGTTCCAACCCCTGCCACGGGCAGGGACACCTTCCAACTAGAGCAGGTTGCTCCAAGCCCCTATGTCCAACCTGGCCTTGAACACTGCCAGGGATGGGGCAGCCACAGCTTCTCGGGGCAACCTGGACCAGAGCCTCACCACACTCACAGGGAAGAACAGCTTCCTTACATCTCACCTAAATCTCTCCTCTGTCAGGTTAAAGCCATTCTCCCTTGTCCTGCCCCTACAGGCCCTTGTCAAAAGCCCCTCTCCAGGTTTCTTGTAGCCCATTTAGGCACTGGAAGCTGCTCTAAGGTCTCCCCAGAGCCTTCTCTTCTCTAGGCTGAACAAGCCCAGCTCTCTCGGCCTGTCTCCATAGGAGAGGTGCTCATGTTGCTTTGCCTCTGTCTCCCCACCTGGGATGTTTATGTGTTACCAGAATATGTAATGCATTATGTTCCATGACAGTCCAAGTGCTTTGAGACTGAAGGAAGGGACTTACATACAAAGGCAAAAGCACTTCATGTGTAGTTGTTGCTGTTATTTATTATTTACACTTTAATGAAAAGGTACCTCCAGAATGTATTTGATCAAGTTATCCCACACTCCCTGGAATTCAATGAGTGCCTCTCATGTGCTTCTAAAGGCACAATTTGTCCTTTAGACAGATAAAAGTTTAACGAGGCCACAGCAGTGCAGCTGTCTCTCAGCATGGCTCATCACAGTAACAAGAGTGCCATCAGCCCCAAGTGCTCATTAATTCCCCTCGAATTGCCTTCCAGGTAGGTGTTTCCTTTCAGTGTCTACCTTTCATTTCAGCATCAGCACAACTTTCATCCACTATACACCTGCCACCAGGTAAAAAGGAGAACTTCCCATCTCTCATTCACCCATAAAACACATTGATGTATATTGCATGTTCTTTTAATGGACATGGTTATGGTGTGTTGATTAAGGGTTGTTTATCATAGAATTGTGGAATGGTTTGGGTTGGAAAGGACCTTAAGGTCATCCAGTTCCAACCCCCTGCCATGGGCAGGGACACCTTCCACTAGAGCAGGTTGCTCCAAGACCCTGTGTCCAACCTGGCCTTGAACACTGCCAGGGATGGGACAGCCACAGCTTCTCCGGGTGACCTGTGACAGAGCCTCAGCACCCTCACAGGGAAGAGCTTCTTCCTAATGTCTAATCTAAATCTCCCCTCTGTCAGTCTCAAGCCATTCCACCTTGTCCTGTCCCTACCTGTCCTTGTAAAAAGTCCCTCTCCAGGTTTCTTGTAAGCCCTCTACTGAAGCTCAACCAGACTCTGCTATAGGTTGTGTGTAAAAACACAACCTACTGGCTCATACTGGGCAATTACAATTGATTTGGAGCCTATGATTTTGATAGGTACCTGCTTCCAAATACACCTATTTGGGAAGCACTTCAGCATAATGTCATTAGCGTGGATTCTGCCTGTGATTTTCCTCCATTGTTTTTTTTTTTCCAGCGCAGTTCGGCTTAAATCCCAAATCAAACAATGACAAATTTCTTCAAAGGTATTTGTTAGATCTGAAATAGCCCCTGGGCCATGGTTCCCAAAGATCCTGAGGTGCCTGTATTCACCGATTTCAGAGCACTGAAATAACAAAGTCTTACGGGCTTACCACTTTCTGTGCCTTTCTTAGCTTCACGATAAGCTTGTATAAACTCCTGCCCTGGTATTATGTTTATTTTTACATGACCAAGGTGTGTGCTGAATGCCTTTTGTTCACCACCGCATCATAAAGGTTTAACGTACTTGTGGGAGGACGTTTTCTCCAAAATCCTTTTCCTCTTGGGAAAGATACTGGGCAGAAGATGGTAGTTTCCTGTGTGACGTGGGATGGAGGAGGGTAAATCAAAGCACTCCTTTGCTGCCCTTTCATCCAGAAGAAGATGATTATCAAAAAGCCAAGCAGACAAAGCCTACCAAGTAATTACTCACAGCTACTTTACACAGACACCACAGCTTCTTGTTTCTTTCATTGGTGGGAGGTTGAGCTGTGTGGAGTGTTCAACAAGGCCATTATGATTCTGCATTTCAGTGGAACTGCACGTGTTTTTGATGTGTTTTTGGTGTGTCCTGTTTTGTGGACTGGCTTTCCAAGAGCTGTTTGGTCCTTTCCTGATGCAGGGTACCTGGTACCTGGTTCACCCCATGAACATCATTTATTTTCACTGTACTGACAGAGTAGTTTGGAAACCATTGAGTTAAACCAACACTTAGTTTTTATGCACCACCTTGGCTGGTACATTGGGAGCAGGATAGCTCAGATGAAAGCTTTTCTATAAGGTTTTTATTCTACATTAGAGTTCAGCTTTATTTGTTTGGGGTTTTTTTTATACAAACCACATCCTCAGTCCCTTTAGAGAGTTTGAATGATGGTGTCAGCTGAATAATGCCAGTTTAAGTCAGAAATGAACTATTTTTCAATGGATGCTTGGAAAAACCCCACCAGTATATTCTGCTGTTTGGTTATTTGAAGCCTTTCAGACTGAGGTATGCGTTTCCAAGCCTGAATTGGTGTGCCTGGGTATGTTTGTGGTCAGGGTGCTTCAAGCTGGGTCCTACAGGAATGTGACCTGATTTTTTTTGCCCAAAAACCTGTGTATTTGACAACACTGCAGCTTGGGACTGCCCAGCACAACAGTATGGCAGCTGCTTTCCTCAGTTGCTTGAAATCGTCTTCTAAGATGCCTGAATTTTAGACACCAAGGGTGGAAAACAGGCTCCAGATCTGCCAACTGAACCCTGGAAGGTGGAACTACGGAGGAGATGTGCTCCAAATGAACAGGCTTACCACTTTGGTCACTAGACCATGCGGAAAGGTGCACTTGCATGTAATTGCAGTGGTCCCAACACTCTGTATCCTAGCCAGCTTGCTTCTGCAATTGCTTGAGCCTTTCTCTCTTGCCTTTTTGTTCTGTTTTTTTCCTTTAACTGTTCAACTTTGCTCTCTTCCTCCTCTTGGCTGCTGCTGCCTCCTGCTTACACCACACAAGCACGCAGCCCACTCGAGAGCTCCGTGCCCTGCCTCGCAACCCGCACGGCGGATGATGGAATCCGGGTGCAGCGCAGCCCCAGCGTGGGATGGCTCAGTAAGTTCCCGGGTGAGGGCATGTGGGTGGGATGGGGGAGATGTGAGGAAGAGGAAGGGGTAACCCACACCAGCCGCTCTCCTAACGCTTGCTGCTGCATTAACAGTGTTCCGTAGGGGTTGGCTGCTGCTCTGTCCATGTTATCCCCACTGTCCCCTCCCTCTGTTTCACTCTGGTTTGACTTTATTCCTTCATTTGGGAGGAAACGGGTAGGTCAGCCCCACTCCCCTTCAGATGGTGGTCTTCTTCCTAAGCCATCCAGGGGCATTTCATTCATCTATTGAACTATCCTTTGGCTCTTCAAAGGGCTTCACGAATTTTGCCACCAGTACAGTATTATAAATGCAATGAGTTTAAATGTTTTAATTTCCATATAAATGAAACACAAAACCAGGCTCCCTGATCATAGAATCACATCTTAGAATGGTTCGTGTTGAAAGGGACCTTAAAGCTCATCCAGTTCCAACTTCCTACCACGGGCAGGGACACCTTTCACTAGACCAGATTGCTCCGGGCCCATTCCAGCCTGGCCTTGAACACTGCCAGGGCTGGAGCTTAATGACCTGGAGAGAGGTTTAGACTGTCTGCCTTGCTGCTTCTACCACTACTTGGCCAAGCTCAGCCAAGGAGACCCTCGCATCGCCTTTGCCAGAGAGACAGTAATGTAAACTAGGCACAAATTGAGAAATTATCCTTCATTAGCAAACTGTGTAAGGATGAGCATCATGTGCTGAAGTCTGGATGAGTTCTTGGCAGCAGAAACTTTTTACTCCATTGGTTTGTTCAGGGTTCTTGAAGCCTTCAGCTCTCATGTTTCTTCTTAGTTCAGAGCATCTGTTCACCCAAGGACTTCCAAGTTTTTCAGGTTGTTTTTTCTCCTCTCTCAGATGTCTCTCACAAGTGCAATTGCTAGTTTTCCTCCAGAGCCCGAGACTGCCTTGGGTCACTGTAATCTCCAAATGATTGAGTCTGATGTAGAGGGTTGCTCTGATGAGCATGCTTGCTGTAAAAACATAACAAGAAGAAGTGTTGGACATGTCCTTCCTGGCTTTGGTGCACAACCATTAGGAACCTGAGTCAGAAGGGATTTAGGCTGTACAGGTTACGGCCACAGTGTTCACAAAGCCAACATTGCACATGTTGCGTCTTGCATCTCTAGCAGCATTTGACTGGCTTGAAAATCAAGATAAATTCAAGGATTTGGGGAACACATCTAAATGCAGGCTGGGCTGCTGTGAAGTTCCTTAGGTCAGCAAAGCTGGGAAAAGGTGAAGCTTGTGGTTTCCCGTCTGTGTTCTAGAGATCATCAGAGTCAGTGCTGAGTGGGACTAGTCTGAACTCGAGGACCTTGCACAGCAGCTTGAAAAGATATGCACAACACCAAACTTCAGGGGAGAACAGTCATATTATATGCTCAAGAGGTTTTGGCTGTCAGCACTAAGTGTAGAATTTCTTGCGAGGAGATGGAGATACAGATCATTTCAGCTTTTGAGACCCCGATTTAAGCTGGAATTATGAGACACTTTCTACCTCCAAAGAACAAAAAGTACCTTGTAAAGTTCTGGTGCTCAGATCTCTTCATGCAAGGCCAGTCTGACGATGGAAAAAGGGATTGAACAAGGTCTGTGTATTGTGCCAAGAAGCTGGAGCTATGGTCAGCATGCCCACAGCTCTTTGTGGGGATAGCTCTCAGACGAGGGTAGGTGCAGGCTCAGGTCCTCCTTCCTGGTAGGAGCTCTGCCACTGGCTGAAATAGAGAAAATATCAGAGCAGCACTGAATTTCCAGTGAGGAATTTATGGGATATTCCCCATCCAAAACTCTCTAACTGTGACAAAAATGAGTTTCCTAAGAACCTTCTGCCCAGAAGTTCATGCTTGTTGTCATGCAGGGTTTTCCCTGATGTCCCTCACTTGAGGCTCTGTGCACTTGTCCTTGTTCAGCCTGGTAGTGGTATTGCTGCTCTAGCTATGATGGCTTGAGTACGGTCAAGGACATGTCTGTAGGGAAGTGTGGTGTTTATGAAATCAAGGGGTAAAGCTGGAAAAGACAGACAAGTTTTGGCACATGGGTCTGTCCAGGTCTGGAATAAATATGAGATGCCTCAAGAATTGCTGCTGTGAGTTTGATGTGTTGATCACAATGGGGGTAGGAGGATGCTAGCCAGAGGAGGTGAAGTCAGTAGCTGCTTCCTCTAGGAAGAAGAGTAATTATCTCCTAGAAACATCCAGCCTTGGACATCTAATAAAGTAAACAAATGTAATCTGGAAAAATATAAGCTCTGAAAGCTGTGGGTCCTGATTTTAGTCTGTTTATTCCAGAATCGGACCTGGAAACTTGGAAAACCACCAAAGCAGTCTACAGAAAAGGAAGAGATACCTTCAGCAGATGCCTTTCTCTACAGCTAGATAACGTAGATCTTCTGAATAAAATGCATTGAAACTGCATTAAACAACTATATAAAATAGAATCATTAGTATTTTCTACCCTTGCTCTAAGCTGTATAGAAGCCACATTTAGTTCCTTCTTGGTCATTAGCCATGCCAGGACTCAGAGTTCCTGTGATAGGGCTTGAACAAGTGCAAATCCATCTCTGCCATGCTGTCTTGCCATCCCATGAGCTGGCCTGGGTGGCATATCCAGGATGGGACACCCAGCTCTGAGAGCAGCCCACCAGTATTCCCATCTCCACAGGCCAGTGAACCTGTCCAGATCAGTGTAACTCTGCCAGAGATGTTTAATTTCTCACACTCAGTAGCCCACAGGTGATGGAAACTGACAGGAACTTTGTTTTGCCTCACCGAGCTGCATGACACCAATTATCCCAGTGCTCCTCTGATTCTTTATTCGGTGTTTATTGGCTTGGGTTTGCAAAGCAGCCATGTGCATCTCTGCGTCGAGTTTCAATCTTTCCTCTTCATTTATGGGTACATGATAAACTTGTCAAAGATTTCCCAGAATTGGCTGTGTCTGTCCAACCTTTAAAAGCCAGGTAAGTGCACCATGCAAGACAAAGGAGCCCTGGGTTTCAGAAGTGGGCTTCAGGATTACAATAACCTGGGTTGATTTTGGGTGGTTTGGGGTTTTTTTGGGGTCCAGCTTTGCCTTTTACCAAATAGAAAAACTTACTAAATACTCGTATCAAGGAGGGTGTTATGAACAAAGTAATGTCTTCACCATGTAGCAGATACCATGGACGTGAGCAAGTTTGATCACTTCTTTCCTGTTTTATTGATGTGTTTATCTCTTACCTACGTATTCCTATCAAGCAGTCAATCAGAATTTGTAGATATTTCTAAGTCTGGCTTGCTAATAATTAATTAGGAGAATGCTACTAATATATGTAGCTTTAACCAGTTTTCCAAGTGACATTCCCCACTCTATGAGTAAATACATTGGTAAAAACTTTGTAGAGATAGGTAGAGATAGAGATTGCTGGCTTGTAAGAACAGCAGCAAGAGGAAAAGCTGGGGATCCCCTTTTGGAATATCTAATTTACTTGTGCTTGGCTTCTTCTGTGTTGAGGTTGCTGGATGTGGCAGTAACACAGCAGATAGGTCACGATTCCAGGTGGCTCATGAGAAAGAATGCTTTAAATCTGTCTCACAAATGCTGAGTATATTGTGAAGAAAACCCAACTCTGTGAGTCCAGATCTTTTTCTTCCCACTCCTTGTTTTGGACCTTCATTTTGGTGCAAATATCAAAGCCTAAGTTTAATCGATATTGCCTCAAAACATAGCTGAAGTTGGGGAACACCTCAGCGCCTTTTCTTCTGGAGTATTTTCTGTCTTTCCGGTTACGTTCATGGTCAGAAGCTCTGCGAGAACAACTTCTGTTACTGTGCTTCTGGATCCTGCAAGCTTGGGTGGGAAATGGGAAAATTGCAGAGTAATTAAAAAAGTGCATAGTGACCCCTGTGGTTCATGATACTATATCCATCCTTGAAGCACTGGTATTGTCATTATTGTTAGATTATTTTTATTCTTGTACAATTATGGCTATTTGGGGGCTTCTTCAGTTTTAACTATGGGATTGTAGAACTGAATTCTGAAATCACAGGACACTTTTCTTAGTTCTTTAGAACTATTTCCATGTGTTCTGCTAGCAGGATCTGAGAACACAAGAATGAGTAGGATACGCTAGTCCATAAGGGAGCAAGCAGGTCCTTACTAGCTGTTCTGCAGTGCTTGGATGCCAGTGTGTCAGGTTTACAGACAAGCAGTTGGTCTCTGAAGAAGAAACATTGCTGAGCTGCTTCAGCTCCTTGTCTCTGGGGGTGTTCATCTCTCCGGGTTATCTGGCGTCAGGAGTCGGTGACTTTTGACCTGTCAATTTGGTCCACATGTTGTTTTAACCAGTAAGGTTCATGAGCTTACTTGAAGAAAGGTAGGGTTTTAGTGTTGGCTGTTCCAAAGGATCAAGAGCTGCCAAAGCTGCCTCACCATTGAGTCTGAAGTGTAGGAGAGCTGAGATGATGGATTTGCAGCCCAAAGTACCATGAGCATCTCAGCCCGATGGAGGAACATCTTTGTGAGTGGGTCCTGGGTGACCCAGCAGCACTAGTGTCAGCAGCCGGTTGCTGCTTTACTACTTCTCCCACAGGCAGGAATCACGAAGAATCCTTAGACTCTTTTGCTGTTCCTGAGAGTCACGGGAACACGCGAGTCAGAAATCCCAATGGGTTAGCATCTTGAGCTCCCATGTGCCACGTAAAGTCACAGAAAGCAGCCTCTCAGGGTCTTACAGTCCCCAAATCAACCTCCCTGGTGCAAGGAAAGGTGTTGCTGTAGCCTGAGCCTCTGTGTTCTCCTGACTGGCTTGAAATACGTGCTTTAATTGGTATTGACATTGTTCTTACAGGCAGCCCAGCCATGGCTCACAGAAACCTGACTTCCACCAGTCTGAATGACATCTCTGACAAGCCTGAGAAGGACCAGGTAAGCTTCAGATGCAGCCTTCACATGGTGATGTGTATGGTTAGGAGCTGTATGTGGGGGAAAGAGACTCTGTACCATAAACCTGAAGCAGAAGAATGTCCACAAAGTGAGTTGAGTATTTCCAAGTCCTGTGACTGGATCCTCCACTTTTTAAGCACCAGCCCTTGAAAACAGCAGGTTAAACTCTTGCAAGGCCTGAAGTAAGTGACACCTCTTACATGGCATCTTGCTGATACACATGAGAAAGGAGGGAAAATAGCCAGATAATGATGTATTTTAGATCCTCTTCC